AAAGCAGTTAAGTAGCTGGGCAACCACATGAAGCAAGCTGACTGCTAGCAGAGAGCCACTTTACGGTTATCATTGGGTCCTGAAATTGTATTCCATAGAGTAGTCACAGATGAAAATGGGCTGAGCAGTTTGATTCTAACTTAGGGTTCTTCTGTCTCTGTTTTATGGACAGACATCTCAAATGCAGTATTCTTCTTTGTCCCGGCAAGAGACTGTTGCCATTTTTAATAGATACAGGTGTAGCAAGTCTGTTACTGCATAGAGACCATGTCGTATTTAAGTAGCAGGTTGGTAAAAACCTAGTGTTAGAAGTTGCATACTGGTGGCCCTAAGACAATTCCCTGCATAGTGCTGTGCTCTTGGAAACATGAGGGATTTCCCTAAAGAGCTTAAAATACATGGTGTGGTTGAGCAGCTTAAAGAATTCACAGTGGTTCAAGGTCAGATATGATAAATGTGGTGGTGAAGGTGCCATAGATGATCTGGAAAAATCTCAGGTGGGTGAGATTAGTATCAGCCCATGCAGTCAGGAAAGGTGCCATGGACCAGTGCACACTTGAATCGGGCCACTTTCTGTGCTGGCTAGAGTAAGTGTCTCCGTGTATTTTCTGCTGTTCTTATTCGGTTTCACAGAGACTTCAGCAATTTTGCCTCAGGTTTTTGCCTGAGTTTTGCTAGGTCTGAAGAGTGATATGTAGATTTAAATATGGGTGTTGTCGATGGACCTTTTAATTCAGATAGGAGGAACCCTGATTCCCTTTTAGAATTTAGTGTCTGATCATTGTGGTTTGGACTTTAGAGTCTGTGCCCCTTCCTCTTGCTTGGAAAGTGTTCCCCCTCTCCTTCAGTGTGGACTTCGTATCTTTCCCCAGAGCTCGACCTATAGTCAATGCTTATGGACGCTTGCTGACCTCTGCTCCCCTGGGTGGCCTCCATAAGCCTGTTCCCTCCAGGCAGAGCCCTCTGCTCCTCCTTGCTCTCCAGCCGCATGTCAGGCCTGCTCCTGCTCAGGCCGTTTGCATCTGATGCCCACTCTACCTGTCTTCCCCAGACACCCACACTGTGCCTTCCTTCACTTCACTCATATCTCTTCTCCAGGGTCACCTTCTTGAAGAAATCTTTCCTGAGTACCTTATTTAAAGTATCACCCCGTCACATTTTATTCTCTTACTTTGCTTGATCTGTTTCCTTTGTTTCTTTATGGCACTTACCATTACCTGCCAACATATTTCTATTTATTTGTTTATTTGCTCACTCTCCCTCCCTCCAGATTCGCGATCCATGAAGGCAGAGACTTTGTCTTTTCCCATTTGCGTTTCCAGGCCCTGGAGTAGTGCCTGGCACATAGAGGGCACACTTCACTTATCTATTGAATACATGCACAAATAGCCCCATGAGCAGGCCCTCAGTCAGCACCTGCCCCACTGTATAGAGTGGGCTGTGTCTGTATGGCTGGCCTGTTACTCATCACTGCCTCCAGATCCAGCTTGCCACCTGCCGTGGGTCAATGTGTAGTCCAGTTTGTAAATGGACGGAGAGAGGCCTTTGAGGTGGGACTCAAAAGCCACAGGTTCTCATAGCCCTCTTCTTCCTTGCCCTCTCCAGTCTTTAGATGCCTTCTCCAAATGTAGGTGCTTCTGAGACCCAGACGGCAAGCCTTGCTGTGCTCCAGCATCATGTCCGTGGGGTTGGGTTGCTGTGACACGTCTTTGGCTTCTCAACCCTAATGCTATTAAACTGGTTCAAACCAGTTTAGTTCTAGTTTCCATGAGCCGTTGAAGCCCTGGGGAGCCTATCATAGTAGAACTTGCAGATGCAGAGCAAGATTTGAAGGATTAACTGACTTGGCCTACAACTGACAAGTGGCAGAGGCAGCTAACTAGAGTCTCAGCTCTTAACCGGGGTTCTATAGTTGCTTCACGTGGGATCACTGGGACTCCTCTGAGACGCACCAAAGGGTAGTGTGAGGGTTTGTTCTATGAATCAAAGACAGCAATTACATTTCTGTATAATCTACGTAGAACCTACATTTCTGTATAATCTGGTTTAAGAATCTCCTGGACTATTTTCCTTCCCTCTGGTTTTCTTGGCGCATTGTGTTTTGCTTTTGTTTGTTGGTGAGCAGCCCTGTGGCATTTACTGTCTTAGAAAAACCTAATAGGACAGCTGTGATAGAGAGGAAGACCCAGATTGTAAATAGCTCTTTTCTTGGGCTGCCAAAAAGGAAGAAACTTGGGTGGAGGGGGATATTACTACCATCCTGTGTGAAGCGAAAATTCTAAGCAGGGAGATTCAGTTCTCTGTTTTCATTTAGGTGTTATTTAATATATTCCCCATTCCCCCAAATTTCCAGATGGGCGTTCAGAGGAAATGCTAGTTAGAGAAAAAGCAAGGGAGGTGGGTAGACCTTACTGGTTGGAAACGTTCCAGCTTTATGCAGGGAAGTCCTTGTCTTTCTTCCTCGTCCTTTCAAATTGTTTTGAGGCAGTTTTAGTGCTGGTAAAGGATATCTAAGCTTAATCACCTCTAGACCAGAGATGTGGAGGTAAAAGTTAGAGAGTGAAAGAAGACTTGCTCAGTCCTGCCTTTTTTTTTTTTTTTTTTTTTTTAAGTGAGGGCGGTTTAAGTCTTAGTTTTCAGGTTACTTTGGGACCTGGATTGAGATCATTGAGGAGCTAGCAGATTCCTAGTGGAGTCTTCAGGGCTGACAAACCTGTGCTCCTGACTGCCTGACCCATTACTGATATTTTCTTTTTCCCAGCTCCTGTTGGTTTATTCTAGTCATCTTGCTGTTGGATTGTTATTCCAGCCTTGTACTACTGCATCTTTACCTCCTCTTGTCATCCCAGTTAGATCGTAAAGTCCTTCTTCAGCCAAATGCCCAGAGCTCTATAAATGGGAGTTTGGGATCTGCCACTGACTTGGGGCCAATAATTTGTTTTTTGATTCTTAGTGTCACCTATTTTTTAATAGAATGACGATGTTTTGTCTGGTGGGTCAGTTTGAAAATGAGTATGAAAACTGTACCTCCTAGTTTTCCCAGACCCATTTCACTTTCTGTCATTCTCATCATTGCCAGGCACAGGTATATAATTTTTGATTTAGAAAATGAGGTTATTGTATGCATGGGACAGATATAATTGCTTTTAACTCTTTGTTTGGAAGGTGCTGTAGGAATCCAAGCTCAGCGGAGGATGGGGATGCCATGATGTACCTCAGGCTCCTGACCGTCACCGGCACCCTTAATTGACAATGAACGAATAACCTGGATACCAAAGCATGCCTAGCTTCTCTTTTCACTTAAAATTTATCTTAAGATTTTAAACCTAAGGTAGACATGCTCATTAAAGTGGCCCAGGTCACACATATACAACCATTTATTAGTAACAGTTTGATGTTTTTCTTGGTTTTCTTTTCCCTGTGCACAGGTTCTTTCCCCTCTTTCTTTTAAAAAATTATTACAAAAATACACAACTGCATTCTCATTGTGTTTTAAACAGTGTGGTAAAATGCAGAGCAGAACATGAGAGTCCCTTTCTACCATCTGTAGTGTCCCCCAACGCACATTTCCTTTCCCAGAGGTAACCACTGGCAGCCCTTGGTGAGCTCTCTTCCCATCACCATTCACCGTATGTGCGTGTACATGCACACTTCGAAAGCAAGGGCTCCTGTTTTGTGTACTACATAATGACTACTTTTTTTCACTTACCCATAGCACGGTATGTCTTGGGAAATCTTTCTACGTCGGGACATATAGGTCCAACTTGTTTTCTTTACCTTGTTGTGGTTGTTGTTGTTAATGGCTATGTAATAATAATTCATCATATGGGCATACCTGGCATTTAACTGCCCACCTATTAATGGACATGAAGTGTTTAGTTTTTGCTCTCACAGCAAAGCAGTCCTGTACAAGCATGTATCTTTGTGCGTGTGTACAAGTGTTTCTGTTGAATAGCTGCCAGGAAGTGGAAATGCTGGCTCAAAGTGAGTGCCTATTTTTGGTTTGGTGGATGCTGCCAAATTGTCTTCCCAGAGGAATTCACCAATTCAAACTCATACCAGTGGTATATAAGAGTGCTTGTTTTCCTGATCTTTATAAATACCTTTTATTCTCATTTTTGTCAGTCTGATTGGTGAAAAGTAGTGTGTTGTTTTGTTGTTTTAAATTTTATTTTTAAGTAATCTCTACACCCAGTGTGGGGCTCAATCTCACAACCCTGAGATCAAGAGTCATATGCTCCACTGACTGAGCCACCCAGGCGCCCCTGTCTCTTACATCTTAATACATGTGTCCTGGTGCTTTTATTAATGTGGGTCTTTCATCTTGGTTCTTGCTGGTCAAATCATTCAGATTACCTGTAGGTCTATATTGAAGTCTCTCTTAAGTCTTCAGTCACCAGTGTAGAGGTGGGTGTTCAATACCTGTGACTGGCTGAATGGTGGTATTTTTGATGACCCTTCAATGAGCTGTTCTTACAATCCTGGGAGTATTTAGAGGCATGAGTCCCATACTGAGTGAATAATGTCATTAAAAATGAGAAGGGTACATGGGATGCCTGGCTGGCTCAGTCCGTAGAGCATGCAACTTTTGCTCTTGGCTTTGTGGGTTCGAACTCCACATTGGGGGTAGAGTTTACTGAAAAAAAAATACACAAAAGAAAATGTAATACTTCATTGGCTTATAGAGCAGAGTTCAAACATAAGCCTGAAGAAGAAAATGGATTCAATTTAAAAAATTAAAAAAAAAGATGAGAAGGGTACAAAAGAGCAAGCTCTTAAATGATATTGTTATCTTGACGCCTGACTCCCTTTCAGCAAACGATTGTGTATTGTCAGTGTTATGCATTTCTGTAGTAAATAGCTGCTGTCCTTTATCAGGAGTCATGTGGATGTAACTAGTTTGGTTAAACACCACAGAGAATTCTTTTCTAAGCATTTAGCTGGTTCTAAATTTGGTTTGTGACTTCAGTTTTCTTTTTTCTGTTTTTCCCCCTCTATAGCATCTGGAGAGGACCAAATGTGAACTGTGTTGACAGCACTGGGTATACACCTCTACACCATGCTGCTTTGAATGGCCATAAGTAAGTATTAATGTGCTATATTCCTGCCCTACCCTCCAGAACCCAGGCCTTTGGATTGTCTTTTCTTGGTTTCTATAAAGGATTACTAAGCAGTAATGTTGAGGAACAGGGAAAAACAAACTAAATTCAGTCCATCCAGAGTTCCTGAGTCTCTTGTTAGTATATAACTTAAGCACCCTTCCCTACTCCACCCCCCAAAAAACTTCATCCAAAGGTTAAGTTTTACCTTTTCTGCTTTGAAATGGTGCAGTGCCACACAGTGATCTGAATATGAAGGTCACATTTGGGGCAGCCAGATCATAAAGGGGCTGGATAATCTCTTAGGGAACCAGCACCTTTGTGACCTGAAAATAGATTGAGTGGTCATAAGAAACTTCCTTTCTGTTAAAGTAGTTATTTATTTACTCTTTTGGCTTGCCATTCTCCCTCATACAGTTAGCCTTGTAGACAACAAGAGCCCTTTTTAAGGGGAAAAATACATAAATCATATGGCCTATTTAATTCTCCTAGGTATTGGTTAGTAGTTATTGGATGGGATTTATGCAGAAAGTTTTCTGGAGAAACTGTGCTTTGGGGGGAGTGTGAGAGAAGATGACGTAGGTTTAAACGGTTTGGCGGCCTTTTCCAGAGGGCACTGCCCTCCATGTGAGAGAGAATGTGATGGCTCAGCCCAGGGGCAGGCAGAGGCATGGAGTACAGTGAGTAGATTTGCCAGGATGTGGAAGAATGGAAACCAGAGTGTAGCAGCACAGAGGGTGGTAAGGAGAGTTTGAGGCATCATACTCTAGGAGATAAGAAGTAGAAATTTTCATGAGGAGGGATTATTGGAATCATTTTCGATTTTGCTGAGCAAGGAGCAGGGCCCTCCTTACCTTGTGGTATTCCACATCACTTGTGCGGTATTTGGCCCAGCCTGATGGACTCTGATGTGCCAAAAAGAGGTGATGATTGTTTCCTTCTACATTCAACTTTTCTGAAATATATTGAATGTGATCCTTATGTCTTTTCTATGGCCATCTTAGACAAAGCTAACAAGGGCTCTGTGGAGACCCTCCCCCCATAACTAGGGGGGTAACCTGAATTAAAGTGAATCTTGAACTTAAATGACTGCAGCTTGTTAGCCAAGCTTATCTCCAGATGCTGTTTTTATTTACAGTGGGGATTTTCTTTGACCTCATGTGCATGGGGATAATTTTATAATTTGTATCTGCTTAATTAGAGGTGTCACCAAGAAGAAAGCCAAGCCCTTCTTTCTGGATATATCAAATGATACCATATGTGTCTGGCTTATGTTTGCAGCAACTTTAATTCTACTCTGCCTGTCTTCTTTTAGCTCCCACATCACTAAATGCTCTGAATAATGTGGTGAATAATGATATTTGTCTTGCATGACTACTTTTATGTAAATTTTATCCCTGAATGCTGTTTAAACATCACAAACAAGGAAACACTGCAAGGTTTAGACAAGGGGACCAGACGTTTTCAAAATAATGGAATATAGGTGGATTGTCTAGAAAGCCTGGAGAAATGGTGAGGTGATGAGTCAGTGTCGTTTGGCTCAAGATATTTCAGCCGCATATCAGCAGCTGTATACATAGCTCATGGAATAAAAGGAAGAGACTGGGTGATGAGCTCAGGTAGAGAGAAGGGAGTCGAGTGGGGTAATATCTGAAAAGGGCTTCACGCTACCCAAATGTGAAGAGCTATTAGTAGGAAAGAGTTCTGAGTTCTGCAAACTCATGATTGATTTTTGCCTTCTAGGGATGTGGTTGAGGTTCTTCTGAGGAACGATGCATTGACCAATGTGGCTGATTCCAAAGGCTGTTACCCTCTGCACTTGGCAGCCTGGAAAGGAGATGCCCAGATAGTGCGGTTGCTCATCCATCAAGGGCCCTCACACACCAGAGTCAACGAACAGGTCGGAAGGAAGAGAAGCGTTCTTCCCTTCAGCGATAGCCAGACCGTGGCGGCCCCAGCACTGTTTCAGTTCCATAGCACAGATCTCAGGGAACCAGCTCTTCCAGGCCCTACAAAGGCTTCCCCCCGTCCTGGCGCCACTCCTCCGAGGGCATCAGGGAGATCTTATACCCCAAGGATGCATTTTACATGCATTTGAATCGTGCAGATTTGGAGTAGTGCTATAATAAAGATCTACGTACCTCGTGTGCAAAATGGGAAATAATACAAATCCCGTAAAATTGCTTAGAGGCCATTTCACACCGGCAGGCTTAATTAATTACAAGTTGTGCTTACGCCATCAACATGGCAGTGCAACTGTAGCCGGTAAATAGCAGTCCTCCCGGTGCAGTGCCCATCAGTTCTGCGTGAACCCTGCTGTGTTTTCCTTACATCACAGCTGCCAGAAGTGGAAGGACGCATCCTGGGACTGAAAAAGGAGCTCACAAAAACATCTGAGTAAGCTCAGGGGTCAGAGGTGATTCAGCAGAATGAAAATCATTTAGATGGTGTCCTCTAAGGTCAACTTAAGAGTGACCATGCTTTTACAAAGCAGAGATAATTCTTAGAAAATAAAGAAAAAAGGCAGCATTTGAGCAAAAATACCTTAAAATGGCCATGGATTTAGGTACTGTGAGACCGTATCTCCTCTTTTTTTACATTGATTCCTTTGGAAAAGTTATACTTACTTTATGCAGGTTCTAGACAATCCTTATAAGATACAGTTTCCTTTGGTTTGGGTCTGAGATCGTGTGTCCATTTGAGAGGAGATGGGCTTTCCCTGTGTAACAGGCCATTCTGTTTTCCTCACTGCTCTGAATCGAAGCAGGTCCTTTTCTTAGTTGCTTGAATGAGAGAGAGAGGCTGCTCTTTCTCAGTAAGCCCAGGACTATTTTCTTAATGACTTTGCTGAGAGGAGATTGTTAAAGTACCTATAGGATTAGATCAGGGTTATGCCTCAAAAAATAGAAAATCATTCTTGCCAGCCCATCTGTCAGCAAGGCTATGCACACTCTCAGTGAGCTGTTAGGAGCATGACTGACTCAGAGAAGGGCAGCTTCACTCTGAGGTTTGAGAAAATTAAAGCAATGCTCTCAGATCTTTCAGTTTGGAGATTGTGTGTGTATAGCTGTTCATCAGCCTCCCTTTCCCCTTTCAAGCTGTATTTTCTGGATAGATAAGCCACAGAAATTTAAGATCATCAACGAGGATGTTTGTGTTATAACATTAAAGAATGAAAATTGTCTCTAGAATTGCTGCTTCAGAATCTAAATGCAGTTTTACTCCTCCTGGCTAAACTGATTGTAATTTCTCTTAACTGGAGGAAATTTATAAGGAAGTTTGCTTTTGACTAATATTCCTCAATGTTGAACAAACTAGTCACCCATTAAAGTCCTTCTCGTTTAAGAAATTTTTGGCAACCATTTCTGATCCTGTCTTTGCTCACTTTTGCCTTGGAACACAGCTGCTTGGATTTTTGGGCCACTTGAGTGTGCTAGCTTGTCCTGCTCACAGCTGCCTCCCGCCTTGGAGTATCCACTAATAGGTGGGACACCCACCCAGTGTTCTGAGTATGTGGCAGGCAGGTGGGTGGGGCAGGGGCTGGGCAAGACGTCTGTAATAGCTGGAAGAACCTAATGGCTCTAAGTAGTAGTACCACACTGAATGAGGCTCCAGTTGGATGCTTGGATAAGAGCGGGTGATGAGTGCTGTGCCCTCGAGCCTGCCTTCCCCATTCACTTCCTTTCCAGGAACCCAGAGCGCAGATCCAGGTTGTTCTCATGTTGGGCCCCCTCAAGACTGGGCTTTGCTTTGATATATTTCGTCCATTTTATCATCACATTTTCTTTTCCTCTCCTTTTTATAGAATGCTCTTGAGATCAAAGAATTCAAAAAGTACGGCCCCTTTGACCCTTATATCAATGCCAAGGTGTGTACGTTGCTGCCAGGATTTCTCTGCATCATTTCTCCAAGCTGCACTCCCTCTTTGGTCCTCTCTGGCTTCCACTCTTGTCCACTCAGGCTCCTCATCATCACCCTGACTATTGTCTGCTTCAGCCCATCTGCTTTTGGCTTGTCTGGGAATGGGAAACTGCAGCTCCAGTGGGTTTGAGTTTTATTTTTAAAACCCATGCTAATTCTGGAAAGGTTGGGTGCTTTTCCTGGAATGTCTGAAAAGCTTAGAAATGGCCGAAATGGGGAAAGAGAAGGAACCATATTATATGCATAATTTACCATTGTGATTGCTAAAATAATTTAAATTGAAGAAAGAAAAATTCAATTAAGAGATGTCAAACATATTAGCTTACTTTTTAATAAACACAGAAAAATGAATAAATTGTACTAAGTGGATTAAAAAAATTTTTTTACTCTGCTTTCTCTATTTCTTTTGAAGTGGAATCTCATTTTCAATAAGCTCATAGTGGAGGTGTTGGGGAAGGGGTTTGGGGACTCCATTTTACTCTTAAAAGCTGTCCTTTCTGGCTCCCTCCTCATTTCCTTGAGTTTGTGCACTTCTGCCTGGGACTTTAAAGCCTCCGTTGCTTCTCCCCAGCTATTAGCTTCTCTTACTGCTTGGTCACTCTTGGCCCTGGGAAGGGCTCTGAAATAGGAAATGAAGTCGCAGGGTCAAGCAGGGCACTGGTCTTGAGTCTCCCTCCCTGTGAGGCTGGGGCAAGTAGTGGCCCTGTTAGGCCTGGTGATTAACTGCCCAGACCCTCCAGCCTTCACCACACCAGGAGGCAGAGCTTGTGGGTTGGGGATGGTTAGCCTCTCTCCTTGGTGCTTTCACCTGCTGGTTTTGACCTGAGTTTTCATTCAGGAGAGGTTTGCTTTTTGGCAGCAGTCTGGAGTTTGGTTGAGTCAGTGCGTTAGTCACATTAGCTACCTTTCCCTTGCTCTGAATACAGTTGCCTCAGGGAAGAGAAATATTAAGGTACTTCTGCATGTTTCCAAATGCAAGGCAGATATTCTTTGAGAAATGCTGATTTAGCGAACCGAGGGCTGGATCTAGGCAGCCTCTGTGGGCCATGGATTAGCTGTCAGGCCTTAATGGCAGAGAAGCAGTTTGATTTGGGGTAGTGGAACACATTAGCTTTCGTTTGGCCCTCTCTCTCTGAATTCTGTTTTCTAATTTTCAAAAGAGGAAGATACCCTATCTTTGTTTTCTTCTTTTTTGGACTTGGTGTAGTAGAGGAGAAAATTCTTAAAGGTCACAGCCTTTCAAGTCAGGCCTGAGTTTGAATTCCGTGCTGCCACTGACTGGTTTTGTTGACTTAAAATAAGTTACTTAATTTCTGTGAGCCTCAGTTTCCTCTTCTGTAAAGTGCAGTATACCATCTACCTTGCTGGATTGTTTTGGGGTTTAAATAAGAGAATGTACATTAAGTACAACTATCTGGTAACTAGTAATATTTGAGATCTGACTTTTAAAGGGTATATACAGTGTGGTGTTTCTGAAACAGCACTTTGGAACCTGTTCTTTGTTACTGGTGGATTGAAGCTCAATAAAACATTGCTCAATTAGTCTATTCAGGGTTTTGTTTTATGGGGAGGCACCGTGAAGTGATTGTTTTCCCACTCGGTGGTTAGTTCAGTTAGCTTATAAAACTCTGATTAAAGGGTAAGTCTTTGGTTCTTAAAAGCCCATTTTCTTATCCCTTGATTTTCCACACAAAAAAGAAAATTGGTCTAAATGGAATAAGAACATAACTTCTCTCTTTGGAAATACCGCCCTTTGCCTCCTTCCCACCCCCCGAAAGCCAAATGATGCAAACTGCTCTAAGGGATAAAGCTGTTTGGATTTTGCTACGAATGCAAACTCTTTGAGCTGATGTGTATCTAACCTCGCTGGGTTTTATCCTGAATCAGTGGGTTTTTATTGACCCGGATTGTGTCTGGGAATTGTTTTGTGTGCTAAGTCCTGTCAGGCACCTGTAGAAATTAAGAAGTCTCAAGTGCCTGTTCTGGGAGCAGAGGTGGATTTCATGAGCTTTCATCATCTTCCTCTTCGACATATGGAGCCTTTCCTTTTTCAGCAAGTCATCATAAACCAGTCTAAAATGTAGGTCATCCATAGCTAAGGTGGAACTACTAAAATTGTTTGCCCCCTTTTAAAATAATTTTAACTTCGTCTGAATATCGTAAGGTGAGCAATAGTCAAATTAGTTTTAAGGTAGATCTGTTTTCCTGTACACTTAAAAATAATTAAGTTTCAGAACTGGAAGAGACCGGGAAGCTGTCTTGACCAGTTGTCTCCACATTCTGATCAGCTTGTCTGGTTGCATCTGATTCACCTAGCAAGCTTTTATAAAACTTTTTATCTTGAAAAAATTTTCAACTTACGAAAAGTTGCAAGCATAATGCAGTGAACTGCATTGCACTCTTCATCTAGATTCACCAGTTGTTAACGTTTTGTCTCATTTGCATGCACATTTTTTCTGTCTCTCTCAAATGTATATGTGTATTGTTGCTGTAGTTGATGATGAACTGTTTGATACTTAGTCATGGGCATCATGACCCTTTAACCCCAAATACTTAAACATGTATCTCCTAAAAACAAGGGCATTCACTTGTATAACCACAGTATAGTTATCAAATTCAGGAAATTCTATATTGATATAATACTGGAATCTCTGATGTAGAATCTGTGTTCAGATTTCCCCAATTTCCCCAATAGTATCCTTTAGAGCAGTTTTTTTTTCCCCCCTGGTATAGGATCCAATCCAGGATCATACATAATTTGGAACAATTCCTCAGCCCTTCTTAGTCTTTAATGACTAGGAACCACAAACATGACATCCCTGGGTGGGACCGAACCACCAACCTTTCAGTGAACAGCTGAACCCGCTAAGCGATTGCCATAGAGACCTGTGACACTGACGGTATTGAAGAATATAGACCAGTCATTTTGTAGACTATCACTCAGTTTGAGTTTGTCTGATATTTCCTCCTGATTAGATTCAGGCCCTACAATTTTAGCAGGAACGCCACAGGAGTGATGTTATATCCTTCCTTCACGTTATAAGGCACGTGATGTCAGTTTGTCTCGCTGATAGACGATTGCTTGGTCAAGTTGGTGCCTGCTAGATTGGTAAGCTTTTTAATAATAGTCTTCCTGGACTTTACCCTTTGAGGTGCTACCTTGGCAAGTCTGGGGTGGGACTTAGTTTACTTTTAAGTTCCCGTGTAATTCCAAAACAAAGCCAGTTTGAGAACCACTGATCTAGGCCAACTTTCCATCCAGAGCAGGAATCGTTTTCTCTCACCTGAAAGATAAGCCACTTACCCTTTGTTTTATTTGGTTGTTTGTTTCTCTTGGTAACAACCAGACTTACTGCTTGGCAGCCTCTTTTTGGATTCCACTGATTCTTGGTTTCTTACACTTGGCTGATCCCTGTCTTCCTAAACTTGCCATCTGTTGGTCAGAGCTCTGCCTTCCAGAGCGCTGCAGAGTAAGTCCAACTTTTCTTCCACATGGACTCCGTTCTCGTGTTTCTCTCGTGTCTGCTAGATCTCAGTAGGCCCAGTTTGTCCAGCTTTTGCTCCAATTTTGGTAGATTTCTGAGACCTGTGCCGTTGTTGCTACAGAGAGCCGTAGCTCAGTGATTTCTAACTTAGGCATCTATCAACAGCGGCCAGGGTACAGTCGGGCTCTAATCTAAGCACTGGGAAGTGCTTGTTTAGAATAGTTTCAAGAGGAGAAAAGCCACTGAAATGTTTCTGTATAGTTTTCTGTTGCTTGTAGTTTATGCGTATGTGAGATACATAGATAGGCATAAACAATGCATAAATATAATGGATTTACACACTAAATGTAAAGGGTATTGGGATCTTTCTTCTTACAGGTACTGGCTGTAGCAAGGAGAAATAAAGTGAGTCTCAGGATGGGCAGGAATGGAAAGTTTGTGCAAAGACTTTTGCAAATTGGTGTGTTTGATCTTAGTCACCTTCCTCAGCCCAAATACACAGTAATAAGATTCTGGGAACTCTTGAGGTGTGATGAGCACCTGTGGTGTGATTTGGAAGGTGTGAAAGAGAAAGATTCTGGGTCCTGAGGAGTGTGTACTCCCCTTGGAATCCCTCCCTTTCTTGTGGGTTCCTGAATCAACACTAGTGATTTCCTGCCCTGATAGTTGTCACATTCAAAGCTCCCGGGAGCTGGTAGGAAGAGCTCATTGTGATGGCCTGTGTTCAGTAGTTGAGAGATGGGATCACAGACTTCAACTCAAGAGTATTATAATTACCAGACCATGTTTGGCAAGACTGAAGCATGAGAAAGATGCTTTCTACACCGTGAATTTGAGTATAATATTCTGCAGAGATGTGGTTAGGCCATTTTGAACAGAGGCAGGAAATTTGCCTAGTAGTGATCAAGACCTTGCTTTCAGTAAGTCAGCTTTGTGGTAGGTGCCCTGGTTCTAGCAAAAAACAACAACGAAAAACCCCAAGATTTTTCTTTTCTTTTTTCTTTTTTTTCCTCCTGCTGGATAGCTTTGAGTTTTACAGTTCTTCGGGCCCTAATAGCATATTTTTTTTACAAAATCGAGGACAGATTATTCTGGTTGTTGGGAGACAACTTGGATATAAAAGAGACAGCAGTGTCTGCCTCAGAGTAAACAAGTTGTTCTGGATTGGGGTTTTAATAAGAATAAGCCAACTTTCTTGGCCCTGCTGTCATGTTAATCTTGAGATATAAAACCCTGAGAATCCTCTTAAAACTTCTTTGGGTTGCCACTCTGCCCTGGAACCACTGTAAAGAAAGCCCCCATGTGTTTTGATGAAGCTGCCTCTCATGGTGAGAACATGAAGTGACAGCTCTAAGTTGGCTCAGGGAGTTCTTGCTCAGTCGGAAATGGGCATTCCAAATGGGTGTCTTAAGTGGTTCGTTTGGCACAGGGAACCCCAAAGGTTTGCTTTCTGCCCAGAATTTCCCCTCCCCTCCAGCCTTTTAGGTTGACATGGAATCCACCCCTTGGGCCCAGTTGTAGCACAGGAGGCCATTGCTAACCAGCTGTGTCCTGTGGTCAGCAGAGGCTGTCTGCACTTCAACTGCTGATCTCCTTGAGCTGTGTTTGAGCTCAGCGCTGCTTCCTCTGTTTATCTGTGTGCATTTATCTTTGCATGTGGCTCCTGCTACCACCCTTTCTGTCCTTATTTCATTGAAAAGTTTTTCTTTGCTATCACTCTGGCCTTTGGGGACCTCGCTCCCAGCAGCTCCTGATCTTTCTGGTACATTTGGTGTAGCTGGAAAAAAAATGATGCAGTCAAATGCCAGATCAAAAGCAGATGGAATTGCATGCATGTTTGGGTAACTCCTGGTCTGTTACTTTTAATGTAATTAATAGAATTAAAGTAATTGTGGAAGCATTTCATTTTTACCTTTTGATTACTGAAAGGTGCACAATATTGACTTGATGAACACACCACTTCGTCAGCTTTGTTTTCCAAAAGTGGCAGAAGCCTCCTGAATAAATTTAGGAATCTCAAAGTCTTGTGGGAGAATTATTTTCATTAGTGCATCTAAAAAAGGAGAGGTCATGGAAATTACTTTATTCCTGCTCTGATTATACATTGTCAGTAGTAGTGAAAGAAAGAGCACAATTGGAATGATTAACATTTTGCTTCTGATGGTGGATGAAGCACAAACTTCTCCTCTTTCATCCCAGGTTCTACCTTTAGTTTGAAACAAAATTGGCATTAAAGGACCCCAGGGTTGTGAATTTGAATTACATGTTACAACTTTGAATATTTTGCACCTCTCAGAAAACATTCCCGTGTCTGATTGAATCTTTCCTACATAAGAAGAAACACTTTCCTGTGTTGTAGATTGTGCATGCGTTGATTGGTGCAGGCTCCTGGAGTAGGCACAGGGTGACAGCAGGGTCCCAGGTTCCTCTGTGACTGAGCTCAAGCGCCTCCCTCCCCTGGAAATGGCTGTTGGCTGAGATCTCAAGAGTGATTTTTGGTGCTCAGCTCTGTTACTTTGATTGTTGGCTGGTTGATTTGCATGCAAGATGCTATGCAGATGACAAACTCTTTCAAAAAAGCTTGTCTGTAAGGCAGTGGATGGTCAACAAAGCCAGAATCAGAACTACAGGGTTGGCTGAATATAAATTGTAAAACCAGTTGAAGTTTAAAATGAGTCAATGGCAGTGATATTATTGGCATTCATGTGTGCCAGGGCTTCTGCCCAGGGCCCACCACATTCCCCAGTTCACTCTCCTTGCAGTCTGTGGACACTTCCTTCACGGCACACAGGAGACAGTAAATCTGAGGGGGATGACAGCTTCCCCCGTGGCAGTAACTGGGGCGCGCTGTGGCTGATTGGAGCAGCCGGCCTCATTTGTTGGGGAATACGTCTTCATTCTGACCGACTTCTAGAAGTCCCCAAATATCGCTGCTATTGTCCTCATTTAAATTTCAGTGGTTTTCCATGTGATCGTCCCAGTCAGAGGCCAGTCTGCCAGTTACCCTTCTGATGGGATCTGCTTGTCAACTCTTTAGAACAACGACAATGAGACAGCCCTGCACTGCGCCGCGCAGTATGGCCACACGGAGGTGGTGAAGGTCCTCTTGGAGGAGCTGACAGACCCCACCATGCGCAACAACAAATTCGAGACCCCTCTGGACCTGGCTGCACTATATGGGAGACTGGAGGTGGTGAAGATGCTCCTCAATGCACATCCCAACCTCCTGAGCTGCAACACTAAGAAGCACACCCCCCTGCACTTGGCAGCGCGGAACGGCCACAAAGCTGTGGTGCAGGTCCTGCTGGACGCCGGCATGGACAGCAACTACCAGGTAGTGGAGCAGACTCCCCCCCGCCCCATCCCCACCCACTGGGCTCCAGGGGCCAAGTCATGGTGGGCAAGGCACAAGGACCATGCTGCTGGGCTGCGTTCTTATTTAGCACGTTTCACATCCCATGTCAGATGCTTCCATCCATTGACTCATTTTCATGTGAAACTTCAGAGACAAACTCCTCAAGTGAGTCTGTGACTGGTTTTTCTTTTCTTTTCTTTTCTTTTCTTTTCTTTTCTTTTCTTTTCTT